TTCATTATCTGTTCCTATTGTCTATTCAATCTCTCAGACATTCCAATCAGAATTTTCTCCTGGACCCTTTTCCCAGCCCTTCCTCTGGTCACTCAAAGTTACTTTAGTGAATGTAAGATCCACCCTGATCCCTATATAAAATGCAGACTTTCTCATGGCTGCTCCTCCTTATGGGGGTCATCTGGCCCATATGGTTTACCTCCAACAAACTTCTCCCCTGGCTGAAAGACCTGGGCTGAAGTTCTTCAGGAGGTACCGTTGTGCTGTGACCTTAGAGTCCCAGCACCCCAAACCTCCAGACTTCATCATAACCATTATGAGAAATTAAAGGATCCTGACTTATACAGGAATACTTAATTGTGAAATTCTAGGCCAAATAACTCAATCTTTTTCATCTTACTATAATAACCTCAGATGCTCCCGCATCAATCTATTGCTTAATAGATTCAATATTTATGCTTACAAACTTATGAATATAGGAATTTGCCGTGAAAGAACATAACTAAAGTAAGGGAACAACGCTTCCCCAGATTCATGTCAACTCTAGTTATATAATGACCAACTGCATTGAGCCAGGTTTAAAGTCTGCCAGGTGTCAGTGGGGAAATTGAGTCAGGAGAATCCTACCTCAGCCATGCAGAAAAGTCGTTCTCCCGACTTCCCATGAGAACACCTTCTTGCAGCTCATAGGTGCAGCTCACAAACCTCTTTGCAGGTTGCTGACGTTGGGTCAGTAGCTCAATCAGTTTGTTGTTAACCATACCTGGATTTAGACTCAAAATAATATTTCATTAACAGATTCCAAGGTCTTAGATAGCAAATTCCCCTCATCAGAGTTTCAGGTGTGACTATAGTGTCACATTAATTAGGGAACATCTCCAAAGTGAGTAGCTTGCATAACTTCCTACACATGTTGTGGTTCCTAATAACATCCTAAGTAAAATCAAATTTCCATTAAGATCATAAGTTGCTACTCCAAATAGATTTGCCTTTCTGTTTCTCAAGCTTATCTATCCCTAACCATCCTTAATCTGAAAGAATGAGACACTTTCAGGACTCGAATCTTATACATATAAGTTTAAATAGTAATTTTAGCTCTTTCTAGGCCATGGAATGAATTCAGATCAAAACAGTAAGATCTTTCCTACTTACAGCTTATATGCTTTAGTATTAATCACTAGCCTTAGATCTCTGACACTGCTCCCATTGAGACTGTTTCTCTAAAAGCACCCAGTTAAGTCCAATCCAAGGACACAACAAACCCAGAAATGAAACTCTTAAGTTGTAAGAGATTTGAACATAATTTTCATCAACAATAAATTATTACTGCAACAAATTAGCTTGCAAATAGAAATTTAGTGTACCCTCTAAAAGAATATCAAAGACTTCATCAAAACATCTTCTTCATAAAAGTATCTCCTTTTCTTAAAAACAGCTTACAATTTCCTAATTACCATTGTCAACCTGAACATTGGTTAAAGAGACCACAAGCTAGTGATAAGTGATATTCCACCCAGACTCAGGATGTCTGGGTTACTCAGTTTCATGGTCTCCAAATGTTTAACCTAAGCATGAGAAAGGAAATTTAAATAAGATAGGCAAATGTCAGATCCAGGACATCTGGGTGTCCTTTACCACCATCAAGGTAGTGTCTGGGTTAAAGGCGCCTCAGTGGTCATAAACATAAGAATGCTCTTGATCAGCATTCTTAGCTCACTCAGGAAGAAAAGATCAGTTCAGGTTATTTTGGCCCTTATTGGGGCTCGATCTTAAATAATTATCACCATAAAATTCCTAGTTACCTAATTTCTTAGTCCAAAGGTGTCTGCAATGGGCCACTTAATCAGTAAGAGTTCCACCTCACAAAACTCCTGCACAGGATTGATAAGAATTACGAGATTTTACAAAATCTTTCTTTGCATAATTGCATAGTTTCTTTACACACACACACAAAAATACTTCTACCAGTAATTCACTTAAACAGTAACTCCAAATAGCTTAGTTAACAATTTTAAACTTCATAAGTGAGAGCCAAATAATCCCAGCTAAAACTTTCCTTTAAACAGAGAAAACTTTTAAGTTCTCATTTCTCAAATTATAGTACTTAAAAAGGAAATGTTACAGAACGGGTCATATTGAATACCCCAACAGCCTTTACCCATTCCTTTTTTTTTTTTTTCTGAAGGCACAATTCTTAATTTAGCATTCTAAGTTATAAAATGAATTGCTCTTCCAACAACATAACTAATACAATTGCTTACCAGATTACATCACATAAGAAAATTCAGAAATATGTAAGCAGTATATTAAAAACTTGGACCAGACCCAATTAATTATTATAAAAACCTTTTCTCTCTTTCTGAACCCCTTCACCAGGTTCAACAGTCTCCTGGGGCCACTCCCATCCCACTAGACTGGCTTTTCTTTATCATCTAGGGGTCTGATAGCCTCGGGCCACAACCAGATTCAACTTCAATGGCCCATCCCCCAACAAACCCAATAATTATCCTAAAGAAGGACTGGTTTGAAAAACATATATGTGCATATATATTTTCCTATTTTTCTAATTTCTAATTCAGGCCCTGATATGAGAGAATACCTCATTAATTCCAAATACATATCAATAAGCTTTTCCACAATAAAATATGTTTGTACCACAGGGCATACATTATAAAATTATTTCCACAATTGTAATAAACTTTGAAACGACCCATCATCAGTTTAGATGGATGTTCTTCTAAGTCACTTTGTACAGAAAATCATTCATCTCATCATTGATATGTTGAGACTATAACTTTAAACCACCATATATTTTTATAATAGTCAAGATTTTAAATGAAAATTTACTATCATAGTCTTAAAACCCAATATACCTCACTAGGTATTTAACAGTTTCAAATTATCTCAATTTCATCACTAAAGATAAAGAGACATCTCCACTCTTTATCACTGAAGACCCATTCTAGGCCAAGAGTTACTTTAACACCATTTCTACCTCACAATGGTCCCTCAAATTTTACAGTCTAAGAGTTTTAGAAATACAGTAATAACCTAAACAATAAACTTCAGATAACATCAATTGAATTTCTAGATTATCACATATAAAATTATCACTCTTATTACTCTTAGTACTTTTAACAATTACAATAAATAATAAATAGTGCCACTTCCAACATATGCCATTGTATTAAGCACTCTATCATCATTCATTTTCTTTTCCATAATAACCACTAGGTTTTCCTTCATAGAACAGTAAACTTAAATCCAATCAGATCCTAATTTATAATGGCTATATATGATAACCATTTAAAAACATTTTTGTTTTAAATCCAATACTCTTGGCCCTTTAAAAGGAAATATTCTCCACATGTTTGTATATTCCCTTAAACAGACACGTGTAAATAAGTCCTGCTTTAAACAATTATCTTCCTTTTTTTCTTTCCTACTTCAATGTTAACTAGGTCTAATCAATTTTCTCCCCTTAGGCAGAAAGCTTCCAGAGTTCCAATAAGTAATTGAACAGCCCAGTTTATGTAACAATCTCCAATCACAATGATCTGCAAAATTTCACTTCAATTCTACCCAAAGCAGAGTCAAACTTCCTCACATTTTTAAAACACCTTGAAGGCAGCCAGAATCAATATCCAAGGGTGGCTTACCTCAAAACAAATACCCACTCATCAAGGCTGGGACAGCTTTGGACTCAGAAGGGACATAAGAATTGCAAACCCAGAGAAAAACACTCTCCCAGCCTTTCCCCAAATAGCTTTTATAATGTTAAAAACCCTTATTTTTGTAATGTTAAACACATTACCCCTACACCAGACACATTGGTGGGAGGGATAAAGACAGCCATTCAAACTTTAGCCTTGGGATCCCATTAAACCTGAATTCTAATCCTGGGCCCTTTTTCTTCTCTTGGCCCTAGCCATCTTGGGCTGCAAGCTCCTTATCAGTTAAAGGCTGCTTGCTGGCCTTCCACTAACTTCTGAGAGATTCTCTCCTTTTTTATTCTAATCTCAATCTCCCCCAGAAAGCCTGAGGCAGGAGGTCTTTCCCACTGTTCCTTTTCCAATCTCAGACCTCAAAAGTTACCCCAAATTTTTCTGGTAGACACAAAACATCCATAGACAGACAGACACACAGGGTGCGCGCAATCCTATTTCTAACCTTGACCGGTCAAAACAAACTCATTTTGACCTAGGGTCCCCTTTGAATAGGTTCTGAGGTTTCTCTCTCTTTTTTTTTTCTCCTTTTCTTTTCCTCTTAGGAAAAGGGGGCAAGGAGCGGTAAGGCGGAGGGGCACCAGACAAAGGAGGGGCAGAGCTCGGGGCAGAAGACACAGGAAAAAGGGAAAGATCATTGCTATAACGTGCGGTCTTTTCCTCAAGCGTGGCAGTACCAGTGGGGTCGAGGGGGCTGTCACCTATGGAGAGATTAGCAAGGCAGGGGTAGAGAGATTCGCACGTGCAGAAGGCTGGGGTTAAGGGGAGAACGCAAAGAGGGATCTTCTTTTAAGGGCATATCGATAGAAACTGAGTCATCATTTTTTCCTTTAGGTTCAAGTTTCGTTTGAGACTCTATATTTACGGCTCCATGGTTACTGGGGTCTATGGGAGGGCTTAGGACCCTCTCACTATTTTCTCTTTTAAAGATAACACTGCCCTCCTTAATAATTTTTGAAACATCTCTGTCCTGATGATAGATACTCAGTAAATCATTAATACAATTCCAATAACTGAAGGCAGTAACGGGGACCTTTTCTGGGCCAAATGTCTTATAATAGTCATTAAGACAATCTCCAACCCTTTTCCATCGTTTCTCATCAATTGTTCCTTCCTGTGGGAACCAGGGACAAACGTCCTTGAGGAAACAACAAAACTGAATCAAATCTTTCTTTTTAACCCTTACTCCTCGCGCCTTTAAAGAGTCTTTAACACCCGTCACAAACTTCTCATGACTACTAATGTCTTGTCCCATTGTACAGATGCCTCACTTACCTCAGGTCTCAATTCCTCGGGGCGGGCACTCCCGCGGCGACCACTGTCACTATTGTTTAGGCTGCAGCTTAATTCTCAGAGGTACATCTGACAAAAGACCATTCCCAAAATCCACAAACCTTCGAGCCCCACGTTGGGCGCCATCTGTCCCGGCCTGCGGGACACCACGAGGGCCTGAAGGGAGAAAAAAGGGGATGGGGACAAGAGACGCGAAGAATGGAGACAAGACAGGCTTTCTGATCAAGTCTCGTTTATTGAGGGCAATACTAGCAGTAATTATACTCCAAGAAAAGGAAGTAAGGGCTTTCCAAAGATCAAGGAAGGGGTGATAAGGTTATCAGAACATATTGTTTTCAAAGAGGGGTGGGGAAATCTACTTTTGCAATCATACCGTTTTATTATTAACACAGGTGGCTGGTTCCTGGCTCCCTACAGAACACTATTTTTTAAAGGACAGATTCTTCTGCCTTCTAAATCAATTAAGTATTATTGAAGACTTCTTCAAACCTCATATAAGCCACCCTCTAATTCCATCAAACTCGTAACTTTTTATACTTTAGTATTTAACATCATGTTGTCTACTTTATGTGTTTCTTACATGCTATGATTTTTATCCTCTGGGAAAGCCGGTTGAGAGTTAGTCAATTGATCGTTTTTCCTCCAACACAAGAATAAGGAACAAACGGTGAGAATGGGGATTATTTGAGGGAAGTAGACTGTCAAGTATGAGTCCAATATTTCAGTACTGCCAATGGATCTGTAATCTCCTCAATGACCTGGGTCAATAAGCATTAAGCATCTACTATGTACCAGGCACTATACTAAGTGCTTAGGGATACAAAGAAAGGCAAAAGATAGTCCCTGCACTCAAGGTACTACCATTCTAATGGGAGTGATGACATATAAATGATTATGTACAAAAAAGATGTATAGGTACATATATATGTTGTGTGTGTGTGTGTGTATATATGTATATATATATATATATATATGATAAATTAGGGATAACCAACAAAGGGAAAGGCACCACATTAAAGGAAAGACTTCTTGTAAAAGGTGTGATTTTAGCTGGAGGTTGAAGAAAGCCAGGGGTGCCACACAGTAGAGATAAGAAGAAAGTATTCCAGATGTGAGGGAAAACCTGTGAAAATGCACATAGTAGGGAGATGGAGTATCTGGCAGGAGGAACACCAAGGAGGCCAAGATCACTATATTTCAGAGTAGGTGGGGGGATGATGAAATGAGTAAAATGATCGGAAAATGTTGTGGGGTGGGAGGCAGGTTAAGAAGGCTTTGAAAATGAAAGAGAGGATATTATATTTGATCCTGAAAGTGACAGAGAGGGGCAGCTAGGTGGCACAGTGGGTAGAGCACCGGCCCTGAAGTCAGGAGAACCTGAGTTCAAATCCGGTCTCAGACCGAACACTTGACACTTACTAGCTGTGTGACCCTGGGCAAGTCACTTAACCCCAACTGCCTTAAAAAATAATAATAATAATAAAAAGAAAGTGACAGAGAGCCACTGGAGTTTATTGAATAGGGGAGACATGGTCAGACCTGAGCTTTAGGAAGATCACTGACAGTTGAGAGGAGGATGGACTGGAAAGTGAAGAGCTTTGGGACAGCAATGTATTGTAATAGTCTAAATGTCCAGTGATAAGGGCCTAAACCAGGGTGGTAGCAAAGTCGGAGGAGAGGAGAGGGCAAAGAGGAACAATGTAGCAAAGGTGAGATTGACAGGCATTGACAACAGATTGGTTATTGGAGGTGAGGGAGAGTGAGGAGCTGAGGATGATACCTAGGTTTTGAGGCTTAGGGCTTCAGAATATGGTGGTACCTTCAACAGTAATAGGAAAATAGGGAAGAGGAGGGAGTTTGGGGAGAAAAGTGATGAGTTCAGTTTTGGACAAAGTGAGTTTAAGATGTTTGTGGGACATCCAGGTGGTGATGTGAAGCTGGCAGTCAGGAGAGGATATAGGCTGGATAAAGAGAGCTAAGAATCATCTGCCTAGAGGTGATATCTGAATCCACTGGAACTGATGAGATCACCAAGTGAAACAGGATAGAGGGAGAAAAGAAAAGAGCCCAGGATAGAGTGCTGTGAGACATCCATGGTTAGAAGACGTGACCTGGATAACAGGTAGAAGATCGAGTAAATGAGAATGAAATATATGGGAGGAGAATCAGGAAAGGGGAGTATCAAAGAGAATAGGATGATCTTTATAGTGCCAAAGACTGCAGAAATAAAAAGAATAAAGACTAAGAAATTGGGGCAGCTAGGTGGCACAGAGGATAGAGCACTGGCCCTGGAGTAAAAAAAAAAAAGTTCAAATCTGACCTCAGACATTTGACACTAGCTGTGTGACCCTAGGCCAGTCACTTACCCCTAATTGCCTTACCAAAAAACAAACAAACAAACAAAAAACATCAAGAAATAGCCACTATGTTTGTCAATTAAGAGATTAGCAGTGACTTTGAAGACAGTCATTTTGATTAAATGATGAGGTTTGGAGCCAGAGTCTAGAGAGTTAAGAAGAGTTTGAAAGGAAAGGAAGTAGAAGTAATTACTGTAGATGGCCTTCTCAAGGAGTGTTGCCACAAAAGGGAGTAGATATATGGGAAGATAGCTAGTAAGGATGGATGGATAGATCAAGGAAGGATATTTTTTGAAGATGGAGAAGATACTGGGAAAATTTGTAGGCTGTAGGGAAGCAGCCTGTCACCAGGGAGAGATTAAAGATAAGTGAGATCAGGGATGATAGAGGGAGCAATGTGCTGAAGAAGAAAGGATGGAATGGGGTCACTCATGTATGTAGAGAGTTAAGAAAGGGAAAGAGGAAAGGAAATGGAGGCACCAATTGTAGAAGGTCTTCTCAAAAAGTTTAGCCACAAAAGGGAGGGGATATGGGGCATGATAGCTAATGGGGCTAGATGGATGAGTCAAAGGAGGGTCTAAGTTAGGGGAGACAGGAGTAAATTTGTAGGAAGTAGGGAAGTAGCCAGTAGACAGGGAGACATTGAAGATAAGCAAGAGTAGGATGATGGGTGGTGGCAATGTCTGGGTTATGACCATCTCTGTGTGTACCTGGGGTGGGGTGGATGAAATGGGAAATTAGTAAGCTGAGTAACTGGGAAGTAAAGATGTTTGAGGGAGTATCAAGAAGTGTGCTAGAGTCACCTTATATGAAGGTAGAAGTTAAGGAGGAAAGAGAAAGACTGTAAGACAGACACTGAACTCAGTGAGGTAAGAAAAGGAGCGTCCTGATGGTTAGTAGACAACAGTTAGCAGAATTTTGAAGAGGTGGTAGAAGGTTCAAGCTACTCAAAAGAGGAAAAGTTACTGAGTCGTGTGGGAGAGGACGAACTTGGAAGTAGCAGTGGGAAGTAAGGAGGGTTCTAACTCCCCTACTTTGAACAGTAAATCAGGGAGAATGAGGGAAGGCACAATCAGTGTCAGAAAGGGCTTTTTGTTACTCATAGTTAGCACTGGCTTCTATATTTTCAGGAAGGAGCAATGAGGGATGGAGAACAGAGTTTGAATAATGACAGCCAGAGGTTCAGAATCACTGGGATGGAACAGGTATGACCAAGTGGGAGTGGGGGTTTCTTATTCATTGATGAATGATTTCAGGAGGGTTATTAATATCACTAGGGGCTCACCCTAAGGGTGGAGTCCTTTCACGGTGTTAGGCCAGACAAGTGAGGGGGGACCAGGGAAGAGATCTGAAGGAATGGTCTTTCTTTTCTATCGCTTCAGGCAGGCTAGGTTAGGAGTTAGGCAGAGTGAGCTGAAAAGAATGGAATTTCTTTGTCCCCTGCAGGCAGGAAGAAGCCAGATTAGGGATCCACCTATAAAGGAATGGCCTCTCTCTGATTCCTTTATTAGCAGGAAGAGGTCATTCTGGGAGAACAGCCCCTGATGGAATATGGCAATTTTTGAAGTTATCCAGTTATCCAGATGGAGACTCATACATGCCTACTCATGTGAAATTATCATCCATGTCCTCCCATAAATCCTTCACAAGGAATCTACTACACCATGATTTTTGTTTCTTTTCTTTTTTTTTTGTTTTATTTTTTATTTTTTGGCTACACATTTTTTTTCAGTGACTTTCTTTACCCCACCTGTATTGCATAGTTACTCCATCATAATATATCACTGTTTGATCTTGCCCATCATGTTCTTTTTCCTTTGAATTATCATCAATTTCAATTCTTTGGAGACTATGGAGCTTCATGTAACCAAAAAGAAAGTTGCTATTAAAGTCAGGAGGGCCCAAAATTCAAAATCCAGGCCTGCCCTGTGTCATTTAGAAAGTCTAGTCATTTTACTCAGAGGTTAGCACGGTCTGGATCCATCCTTATTATATTTGCAGCCTCTTAAAGCCAGCTACAGAGAGGTAGGATTACTTCCTGCCGTTTCCGTCTTGTTCTGAACTACAGTTGATCTTACTGGCAACTACCACAGTAAATGAAGCTAATCTTTTACATGAGAACTATTATTTTGCCCCAAGGTCTAAGAGGTCTTGGGAAAAAGCCTCTGTGCCTAGATGTTTAATTTCCAAATTTAATTTCTGCCTCCTAATTAGTCACTCCCAAGTGAAAGGAAGGAGGTTAATCTAATACAGGCCTGAAACAAAGCAGAAGATTAAAGTGAGAATTTCGGCTAGGGGGGATTTTGAGGGCAGCACAAAAAGGAATGAAAGCAAAAAAAAAAAAAAAGAAAGAAAGAAATGGATAATTGATGTTATGCATGAGGTGACAAGAACATGCTTGCACAGTTTTTAAATGGAATAATTCTATCTACTAATCTCCTGTCTGCATATCTTAAGTGTGGGTGTGGAGGTGTATGTGTGAGTGTGGGTGTTAAATGTGGGTAGGAGACCCGATTGCTTTCTCTTACAGAAAACATCAAGCCAATTATCATTTCACTGCCAAATTCCTCTAATGTGATTATTTGTCTTTTAAAAAGGCAATGAGAGGATGCTTCCATGAATGGCATAACACTGTAAAAATGCAAATGACTGTGCCTAATTTAGAAAGACAGAAGCAGTAGGATATGAGTGTGAAGGAGGAGGGAGCCATAAGTTCATTAGTTAATTTTCCCAGCGTGGGGGCAAAGAAAATCTGACATTTTCCTCATGCAGGTATCTCACAAAGAAAATAGAGAGCTGGGCCACTTAAATCTTGGAGGTCATGTTGAGGAAGTCCCATTCTGAATGCTACAAACAAGTTAAGCAACAGCTCCTGAAGGGGAAATTCTAATTCCTGGAACTAAGTAACAAAGTAGCCAACACACAGCTGTATGTCTAGTCACCATATTTGGGGAAGAAATTTATTATGGACATTAAAGTAAATGAGGTGGATCATCCCGGTTAGAAGGGACAAGGCCTTTGATGTTTGATGTTCTTGGCCTGGTGATATATTTT